ACTGAGAATTCACAAATTGTTTTTGATTATAAATAAAGATATGTGATATACTGGTATACTTCTCAGATTGCTTAATGCCCCCCCCCCCCCTCCTTCCAAAAAAAAAGTTTGGGTTATATTGGAATCACCATGTCCGTCTGTCCATCCGTCCGTCTTCGTGTCCGGTACGTTACTTTTGTACCGTAAAACTTCGGTAAACCATACTTAGTATGCAATTGCATCTAAGGCTGGGTGTGTCGTATACAAAAGTCGGGTTGCTCTGAACATGACTTTGACCCCTTTGATAGTAAAACCATGTCACGTCCAATTCGTCTCCTGCTCATTACTTTGTACCGTAAAAACTTATTAAAGTCAGGCCACTCTGACCTTGACCTTTACCTTTGACCACTATGATAGTTAACCTTTTCCAATTTGTGTCCGGTTCATAACGTTTGTACTTTCAAACTTAGGTTAATCAAACTCGGTAGGAAGTTGCATCATGGGCTTGGGGTGTGTCACATCTCAAAGTCAGATCACTCTGAATTGACTTTGTCCTTTGACACTTATAATAGTAAAACCTTGTTCAATTCGGGTCTAGCTCATATCTTTTGTGCCGTAAAATTTGGTTAACCAAACTTGGTATGCAGTTGCATTATGGGCAAAGGGTGTGTCATATACCAAACTCAGATCATTCTGACCTTTTCCTTTGACCCCTATGATAGTAAAAACCTTGTCTGATTTGTGTCCTGCGCATAACTGTTATACTATAGAACTGGTTGACCAAACTTGGTTTGCTGATACATCTTGCAATTGGGGTGTGTCATATCAAGCAGATCAGTCTGACCTTGACCTTTGACCCCTATGATTGTAAAACAGTTTCTGGTTTGTGTTTGGTGCATAACTTTTGTACTCTAGCACTTACATTGACAGAACTTAGAAGCATCATACTGACATTGACCTTCAGACTTTGTTCCTGGGGCAGTATAATTCTTTCCAAAAGAACTATCAGTAACCATATGTCAATCTAACACAGAGGCAATGATTATATAAAATGAATGGATGAAAACTAAAAATCTTAAAATGTCATTGCCTCAATGCTGAATTTCACAACAGTAACTAAAATGTATGTACAGGGTTATAAGTCCCGCTACGAATCTATTGTATATCAACTTGTTATTCCTGACTACATATTGCCATTGTTGATTAAATCCCTTTATATCAACTCACTTTCACTACGGTTATATTGGTGTTAAGTTTGCTGTCTTATCTAAAATAGGAGTTGTGGTATTATTGCCAATAAAACAACTATCCACCAGAATTCAAGGAGGAAGATATCAGGAATTATATGTCACCATACTGCCTTCAACAATGAGAAAACCCATAACATATAGTCGGCTATAAAAGGTCCCAATATTAAAAATGTGAAAAAATTCAAACAAGAAAACTAACGGCTTATAATTAATAAAAATACAGCATTAGAAAAACAAATATGACGGATATAAGCCAATAAAAACCACTAAATCACAGACCCCTGACATTGGATAGACATATGTAACAGAGTTTCTGAGTGCTGAATTATCAAATCAACAGTAAAGTTGCAATAACAAATATCAAAATTTTACATGATAAACATATGTAAAAGGAGGTGATTTTCGATGATTGCTAGTGGGACAACTATTTAGTAACAAACAACAAAGCTGTGATTAAATTCATATTGAAATTATACACATCTACCGTTGCAAACTTTCCACAGGTGCTCTCCAGCACTTTGATACCCTAATTTAGCACATCCCGAAAAGTCTTGTGCTGCAGCTTCTCGGGGTAAAAAATCCCTTTCTTCACACAATAAGTTCTTTGAAAATATAGTTCTTTGCATACATTTAATAACTCCATAGTTTTTACACCTTTATTCTTTGGTCCTCTGCTCTCTAAATCAACACAAATAGTTACATGTAAGTTCAATCACTTGTTAAAAATTTAAACATGTCCGAGATTTTTTGTTTACGCACTACTTTTAAGTATCTCCACAGGATCTCGCTATTTGATGGCGGTACTTATTTAGCCTGTTATAGCTTGTTCTTAGTTCTGCCAGAATTCTTCCTGTTTCATGATTCGGGTAATCAAGCTATACAACCTTACCAACAAGTAGAATACTTTAAAACATTGTTAGAAATCAACATCTCTCGTTCTCTCAAGCACTTGTTTTGTTAACTTTTAAATCTGAGAAAAGAACATTAATTATTAGAAAAATAATTGATATCAGACAATCCTGCTATTAAATAACAAAAAATCCTGCAGAAATATAGTATTATTTTAAACTATACTAGTTGATATGTAATAAAATAATAATATTTAAACTTTTATTCAGTTGCTTTTGATATTATTTTAATTGAATACACGTAGCTGTTTGTTGTTTGACACATCAGGTGCTGTCTGGTGAATTTTTATTGTAAAATTTTGCATAAAATGTTATCGAAAGAAAAAAAAGGTCATGTACAGTATCACTAGCCTGTCAACACTGAGGTTGTCACTTCGAACCCCTTACATGCATGGCAGGGTTGTTCAACTCCAATCTTTATTGACAAGGATTGTCAGTTTTCCTGTCGAAGGTCTGTGGTTTTCTCCAGCTTCCTCCAGCAATAAAAATCAACCGCCAATAATGCTGAAAGTGGCGTTAAACACCAACACTCACTCACCAATCTTTACACTATATGCTCTCATTTGTTTGTTTAATTTATATCTATTTTATTTGAATATATACTTATCGTTTCTCAGGTGCTAAAAAGCACTATAAATTATCCTTGATTTTTGTCATGAAAATTTTTCACAATGATATATACGTTGAGCAACGAAAATAAATGCTTGATTCCACCATTTCCAGTGGCAAATATCACACTTCAAATATATTTGAATGAAAATCGAATGACGACCGGATCCGTTGTTCTAAAATATAGTTCCTATTTGATTTGTTTTGTGTTAATATTATTTCGTCTAATCTTAAACACGATTTTTCGAAACTAATGTTCTTCATAAAACTTGGATCATAAAAATTCTGCACATTGAATTGACTCTCATTTCGTGCATTTAAACAGACATTTGAAGGAGTAAAGCCGTTTCATTTTGTCATTACTAAAGTGATACCATTTGTGAGATTGTAAAAAAAATAATTCGTCGTCAACTGACAAATTGCACATTTGTTGTACAACGCCACACGCGGAGTGTTGGCTATGTATGAAACGGAGCGCTGGATTTAGGATTTTTGAAAGGGGCGTAATTCCTTAAAACGGATTAAACGAAAATGTTTGGACGATTTTATGCTAACAAATCATAAAAATCGTGAAAAACATGATATAATATTTTTTTCGGCTCTCAGTAAGGGGGTGGCGTACGCTCTTTACGCCCCCTGGATCCGTCACTGCTAATGATACCACCGGTATAAGTATGTATTCAAAAATACAGGAAGACAATGAACAATTGACACGTAAACGCCTCATCCGGTGTAGCATGCTTATGTAAAGCTTGATAACAAGTTTTACAAAACTCTTTATTTGAAAATTTGAAAAACGATGTGGCAATAATGTATATACACAATATATGTACATTAATTGTCCGAAAATATAAAATTTATTTGTACGAGCTTTAGAAACACAACTAAAAGCAAGGCTTCTCGAGTTTTTCTCCTGTCTCGTAGCGAGTACAATAAATTTTATATTTCTGACATTGTAAAAATATTGCTTTATCCTGCAATTTACATCCGGGATTTTAAGGTTTAGTTGTTTAAATTCAAATAGTTGTCTCTGATTTTTCAACATAGTTTGAACGCAGACTATGAAGAGGACCCAAAAATTAACTATCACACAAAAAGAAATATTCACATTACCGTTTGCTCAACAGTAAAAAGTAAAATAACAAAAATACCGAACTCCAAGGAAATTCAAAACGGAAAGTCCCTTATATAATGGCAATATCAAAAGCTAAAACACATCAAACGAATTGAAAACAACTGTCATATTCCTGCCTTGGTACAAGAGACTTTATTTGTACAAGTACAAAACAAAATTTATTTGTGTACCTATTATGTGTACAATAGTTGGCTGATTTGCAGGATAAAAGAACATGTAATAATTTATTTTGATAAGATTATAATTTTTTTGTCGGTTATTTATATCGAAACGTCACATGATCATGTTTTAAATCAGGCATATCACGAGTGTACAGTGAAAGAATGGTCGCATGATCATTTTTTAAATCAGGCATTAATGAGTAACAGGAGGCATAATTTCCATTTATCAGTAAGAGTATACCATAACAAGGGTATACCTTTTTACTTGTCCTTCCATATATCCATCCTTCGACCAATGAAATTTTCGGAAAATTTTCGTAGGAACAACAAATAAGAACTTCCTGAAATGTGGTATGTTAGGTAGCCTGTTATACGATACGCCTCGTTTTCATATCCATCGCTAATTAATTTTCTGTTTTTCGAATAATTAGTAGTGAGCAATTTTAGCTCACTATTCATATTATTAACTATAAGTCTGATCTAAAATTTGCTTTACAATTAGTTTGTTTTCCCTGTATAAAAGGTTAAGACACTGTCAGACTAACAGGCAAATTGTATTTTCTTTAGAAAAGCCTCAATTAACCCCTTAGAAACAAATTCTACAACCCCGTCCGACAAATTACATTTTAGACAATAGTTACTTTACTGAAACCAACATTATTGTATTGAGAAACTGACAATATGTCTCATACTATAACATGAATTCATTCTGTAAAAATAAAATATATGAAATCGAGTCCTTGAAAATGAGTTTTTATCAAGAAACTTCCTTGAAAAGTCTGCAAATCGCTGAAATGTGAAGCGTAGGGACCACTTGGGACGTCTGCGTTGATTAAGGAAGACTGATAACTGATCGGTTCCTTCCATGCAATACTAGATTCGGCATTGACCTGTTATAACAATGGTAATTTAACATCAGTTAAACCGTTCTAATTCGTAACCCCGCTTAGTCCGGTTATACTCATATGCATACAGTTGGTGACAAATATTTACACAGACTACACACTTATTTGAATACTGCACAATACATTTACACAATTATATATAAATAGCGGAATATTTGATGGGATAGGATTCCTTCCTGAAGTTTAAAAAATATCTCATCGAGCTGCGAACAAGAAAAGGTAAATAAAAATAAATTTAATCTATATTGTATTATATTGATTACCTATAACGAGGATGTATATTAGATATTACATTTATTTAGTTATAAATCTAAATTTTTTTGCCTAGATAAAGTTGATTTAAGTCCAGTGGCAAATTCATATATATATTCGGATCAGGTCGATTGATCATTGAATATCATTTATATCATATTCCCTGGTTTTCTGAGACTTATTTATTATGTTGATAACACTCAGTGCACAGAAAAACCGTCCACCTAGATACATCAATCTGTACGACTCCGACAGTTCTGCAGTCTTTGTTCTTTTAGTACTCATCGGCTTTAACTCAATATGGTTGGGAACCTCGTCAATTTTGTCTTTCATTTTATCTTAGTGCAATTAACCATTTGATTGCCTGGGGAGGGACACGGAGAGGGGGGGGGTCTCTTCCTATTTAAAGGTATAATAGGTCACTTTTTTGGAATCGAATGCCAAAACATCTGAGTGATCAATTGGGTGCAATTTCACAGAGGTAATATATCAATGGGTAGGAATCTACATGTCAATGGGTCGTAAATGTTCATCTTCTGTCTGTAAAATCTGTGTACTGATCTTTTTATCGAACGATATGAATGATCCCATGTGGTTAACGTCTAAATATGTTATGATAGCTGGGAAATATTTAAATGGCATGTGATTTTCCAATGATTTATACTCACGGACTTTAAAACCGCAAGACACGTTTTTGGATTTTTTTAATACTAAATCATGATTAATCTTCAAATGATTGCTTTTCATGTTTACTATAATTCTTTCTGTTTAGAAAAAATCAATACCTGACTTACCTGAGGTCATTGAATATGCCGGATTTTTGACGTCGCACGAATTTCTAAAAGCAAAATTTGAAACAAATGTATGATTTTAATTTTTGTTTGTTTCTTCGTGAAACATTTCTTTGAATTCATACCCCACTTTTATCATTAAATAATGTTGCATTTCCGAATTGCCGATACCGAGCATTGAAAATCTGTTTCAGGCATAAGAATTTTGTAGACAGGAAAGCGTAAACGTATTGTTGCTAGACAATTTCAGCATCTCCTCTTACAGTCCTTACAACAACGGCCCAGACAGACATGATTTGTTAATGACCACACATGACCAGATAAACGTTATATGCGAGACAGGTTTACGACTGCAACGTCAACTGATAACCAAAGTTTCCGGATCACATGACAGACAGAATCACCTCTTACTTGTATTAAGAGTAATACCACCATTGTGGTTCCCTATTAGTTTTTATTAAATTGGCATTTCTTCTGTCGCAGAAAGCTCGACATAGGGTAGTGATCCGGCGGCGGCGGCGTTAACTAACTACTGAAAAGTTTTATATTTTAGAAGCTGGACGACCTGGATGCTTCATTCTTTGTATATTGATGCCTTATGTTATGAAGTTTCCGTCTGTCATATGTCCATTGTCCTTGAACTCATTTTCATGGTTCAGTGACTACTTGAAAAAAAAGTTAAGATTTTTTGTAATGTTAATTTCTATCTTATTATGAGTAATAGGATAACTATATTTAGTATGTGCGTACCTTGCAAGGTCCTCATGCCTGTCAGACAGTTTTCATCTGAACTCGACCTTATTTCATGGATCAGTTAAAAAGGTTAAGTTTTCGTGGTCAAGTCCATATATCAGATACTATAATCAATAGGTCTACTATATGTAGTGTATGGAATGATTGTAAGATGTACATGTCCAAGTGGCAGGTGTCATCTGATCTTGACCTCACTTTCATGGTTCAGTGGTTAAAGGTTAATTTTTTGTGTTTTGGTCTTTTTTTTAATGCTATATGCAATAGGTCAACTATATTTGGTGTATAAAAATATTTTACGATGTACATGTCAGTCTGGCAGGTTTTGTATGACCTTGACCTCATTTTCACGGTTCATTGCTCAGTGTTAAATTTTTGTGTTTTGGTCTGTTTTTCTTAAAGTATAAGCAATTGGTCAACTATATTTGGTGTATGCAATGATTGTAAGGTGTATATGTCTGTCTGACAGACATCATCTGACCTTGACCTCATTTTCATGGTTCATTGGTCAATATGTAATTTCCATGGTTAAGTTTGTTTCTTAGATACTATAAGCAATAGTTCAACTATATGTAATTCATAGATTGATTGTAAGGTGTACATGGCGCTCTGGCATGGTTCATTTGACCTCGACCTCATTTTCATGGTTCATTGGTCTATGTTAAATTTTCCTGGTTAAGTTTGTTACTTAGAAACTATAAGCAATTGGTCAACTATATTTGGCGTATGGAATGATTGTAAGGGGTACATGTATTGCCGGTTTGGTTTATCTGACCTTGGCCTCATTTTGTTGGGTCATGTTAAGTTTATGTGATACTTGTATAAAGCTTTATATTTATACTATCAACATAAAATCAATGATCAGTAAAGCAGGCGAGACGTTTCAGCGTGTGAACTCTTGTTTAAATTGTGCAGAATATATGTTTGTTTCAAATAAAGAAATACTTGGCATGGGTAAAGTTTTATCCTGTCCAGTACTATAGTCAAAATTCGACAAAACACTTCATTGCACATAAGTAAGAATCCCACAAGCATTTGAAACTTATTATACCTTTAATTGTATTTTCAGAATGTTGTATTCAGTTCTATCAGCGTTAAATGTCCAGACAGTTCTAATTGGATTACTAGTTGTACTTGTTGTTTACAAACTCAGACAAAGATGGAAGTATAATGTGCCTCCAGGACCATTTTGCTGGCCTCTGATTGGAAGTTATGAAGGTAATATCATCTTGCTGGCCTCTGATTGGAAGTTATGAAGGTAATATGTTTGCTTTATAATGGACGAATGAAAAACAGCAGTATGCCAATTGAATTGTTGTCTTTAGGCTTTAAAAATATTTGTTTACTCTTACCGAACCGACCCAAATTTGTAGATCCTACACTACAGACTATTTTCTTATTTATAAAAAATACCATTAGAATCAGACTATTTCCCCTGTTTAGACTTAACGTTTTGCCTGCTTGTCAACCGTTGTTTAGCATATTAGGGGAAACACAGTTCTTATTTTGTCTCCTCTCGTTCACTTATTTGATTTAATTTACAGTTCATGAAATGTACACTTGTTAATACTGAGCTTGCAACACTGTAGACAAAGTTGACATTATAAAAGTTTAGCTGTTCTATATATGTATTTAGGCAAGTTTAGCTGTTCTATATGTATTTAGGCAAGTTTGATTGTCACAATTATGCTCTCAAAATGTTGATCATGGGCATCACCTGATGAATTTGAAGTCAAGGACATTAAACACTAATGTATAAATATGTTCGTTGTTGTTCTGCGGTTTGCATGTTGTGTCGACTATTATATTATGTGTTTGTGCTATATTTCTGTCACGTAGTGTTGTCATTTTAGCGATATTTTTTTAACATTGTCATAAAGCGGGTTGTTTGGCTAGCCTGATTAAACCAGGTTCAACCCACCATTTTTTCTTAAAATGTCCTGTACCAAGTCAGGAATATGGCAGTTGTTATCAAATAGTTTCTTTCTATGTATGTTGGTTTTTGTTTTTGTTGCACTTCAGTGTTCCTGTTGTTCCGTTGTTTTCCTCTTATAGTTGATGTGTTTTTCTCGGTTTTAGTTTGTAACCCGGATTTGTTTCCTCTCAATCGATTTTGACTTTTGAACACCGGTATACTACTGTTGCCTTTATGTAGTTCAATATTAGCAAGATAAGTGGATTAACAAGCGCGCTCACAATCTAAGACTGTATAGACCTGGACATATATACATCTGTCATAATTTACTGGCAGTACTGATATACCCCTTAGAAAGGATAAAAGAGGGAAAATAGTTTTTATTTTATGTAAGGCATAATAATCTTCTAATCATATAGTTACTACCTTCTTCTAGACATAGATCCCGAAACAATGCTGTATTTCGTTCTGGACAAATCAGATTCCTTATTCCAAGTAGAAGAGTAATCCGATGGTTTGTGTAACGGACGCAATGAATTAAATAGTGCCCAATCTAAGTATTTGTGTTTTCTGCCAAAGTATTTGTGTTTTCTACCTAAATATTTGTGTTTTCTACCTAAATATTTGTGTTTTCTATCTAGGTTTTTGTGTTTTCTGTATAAGTATTTTTTTTCTGTCTCTGTTTTTGTGTTTTCTACCTAACTAAAGTATTTGTGTTTTCTATCTAGGTATATGTGTTTTCTGCCTAAGTATTTGTGTTTTCGGTCTTGGTATTTGTGTTTTCCGCCGAATAGGTATTTATATATTTTTGTATACTAGTTTGTATAATTAAGATTAATGTGTAGTTTTATTCAATTCTAGTTATCCAAGCCAAATTTCTACATGAAATATTTGTAAAATATTCGAAAAAATATGGACCAGTGTTCACTGTTAGTGTAGGTAAGTAAAACAAAGTTTGAGAGATAGTAGGAAAAAACAAGAGCTTGACATACCTAGGTTAAAAACAGTGTCATTTGTGGAGAAATTGATGACACTGCGTTTGAAGATATAATTTGAAATTTTTATACATATATACCTGTATACTTTATTTTAGTTTTTTCAAGTTTCGATAAATTCCACTGAGTATAGTTTGAAAACTGATAGGATTTAGAACATCAGAGCATGGTAGAATAATGACAAAATGTCTCTAAACAAGAAGAGAAAAGAACTGCCTTACATAAGATGAAAGAATCTATCAAAATTTGCCAAAAAGCTATTTTCTAATTTCCAAAACGAAACAAAACAAAAAGCAAAAACAAAAACAAACCAAAAATAAAATAATTCCAAAAAAAAAAGGCAAACAAAACAATAACATTACAAACACAAAACATAAGAAAAAAAAAAAACGGTAAAAAACTGAATTAAGTCTGAAAAATATTCCCAAATAAAAAAGAAAAGATAAAATGGAGATATCGGGGAGTTGTGTAGGATATATGAAATTTATGAAATAATCAAAGTAAACTTAAATTTTATTCCCGTTTAACAATACACCTTATTGCTATTTAGTCCAATCTGGGAAATAACTCACTTAAGCAACTTCCTGTTGAGGTCAAGCGGAACAAAAACAAAGGTCATCAGCAATGAGGTAGGAAGGAAAAAGTTTGGAAAGTGGACATTTTAAAATTTTGATAGTTTTAAGAAGAAATTTTTAAAAGACAAATTAAAAGTCATTGAAATGCTTTGTTTGATGTGTTTACGATGGTTTAAACAAGTCTCTATGAAAAGTTTTATGCTCAATACATTGTTTGAACAAGGCCCCAGATGGCTTCAACTTGAAAAGTTGTGTTATTTTAGAACTTATCCGGATAGGAATAAATAGTGATAAGGTGTATATTACACACTCACCCTTTATTTTCCTATTGGGTTAGAACAAATTGACAACTATGTACAGAAAGCTATTTTCTTTACAGGACCTTATCATATGGTTGTTTTAAACGATATCAATAGTGTCACAGAAGCATTAGTCAAAAGCAAATCTGATTTTGCCGACAGACCATTAGTTCATTCGGGTATGTGTAAACTAAATACTGTCATACTTAAGGATGTTCGCTACTCTGTTTCAAAATAACAAGTTTTTTTAACAGACTGTCATACAGTGATAGTATACAAATAACGGAACTAAAAAACAGAAAAAAATGAAAGGTCCGTGTCCTTGTATTTGAGAAATAAGCCATTTAAAATTTGGCGGGAAATGATTCTTTCTCGATTTTTCATACATATAATATTGGTACCTATTTCTTTCAAAAATCATGAAAAAATAACAGGGATTTTACAAGATTTAGAAAAATTACTTTTTAAACTTTTGTGTTAAAATTATGAAAAGAATAGTAGGGTTTGTGGGCAATTTTTTTTATGGCACTACATTGATAAAACCAGAGTTTCCGAATATCTGACAAAAAGTCAAAAACAAGAGCAGCGAACATCCATAAACCGAGATTAACCTTGTTTATTCAAATGTCATTCATTCTATTATAGTTGCCTTATACTGTGAAAAAATCAAGCAGAAAAGTTAAAGCCGGTTAGTCTCTCTTTTGTCTGTATCTTCGACTTTGTAAAAATAGATAATGGGTATATAAGTTTGATATAATATACAATGTTTTTTTATTATTCATTATGCTATGTTGTAAAGACGTGAATTACCGATGATATGGGAAAAACTACATGTATTTTTTAGTTGTTAAAACATTTTAAAACTCAATAAATACTTTTTATGAGAATGTATTATTTCTGGTCCGAAGCATGGATGAGAATGGAAAACCGTGCATTGGACCAACACCCCTATCACCTTATAAAAAATCTACGCCATAGAAAGAACAATTCAAAATATTTGTTACTTTGTGCATCAAAGCTAAATGATAATTAAGATACGAGAATATATCCAATCAACAAAAGTTTCTGACTCCTGACTATGTATAATAGCCAATTTTCCATTCGCCGGCTTTATTCAAATTCTAGAGTTTGGCAGAGGGAAACATTCAAGTAATAATTTCCTACTTGACACCGATAATTTGAGCATGCTTTTAAATGACCCTTTTTTGTGGTAAATGTATCAGTATATTTTGTATCTGTCAGAAATTGTACTTTCAGCTCACATGTTAACGGAGGGAAGTAAAGATATAATTTTTGCTAAATATACACCAACATGGAAACTGCACAGAAAAATTTCTGTAAAGGCATTAAGGTAGGAATTTGATTTATTGTATAATGTTTTATCATTCCAGTCTGATAGTACTGTTACTGGTGTTTTAATTTGAGCTTTATAATATTAAAGGAGCTATTTTTATTCAAAGATGCACATTTAGACAGTTAATGTCTCTGACTAAGTGATGCTCTAGAAAAAAATATCGAAATTCCAAAATCATATACAAGTTTTGAAAAGGTGATAGAAAAACCAACAAGGACCAAAAGTACAGCAAAATATAGACACTCATGTTCAAATCTAACATCTCCTGCTATGCATTCACCAACAGCCATGCGATACCACACTTGGTCAAAACTTCATAATCGGGAATAGGACAGAATCGATGAAATTAAAGATTAGATCACTATTCTGGTATCTAAAGATCTAAGACAGAGAAGACATATTGCTAGTGAGTTGATACATAAAAAATCCTATCTGTCAACCAATTCGTGATTATGGCCATTAAACTTATGTAGTATCAATTTTTGTCGTTCTCTCTCATTAACTCTGTTGGAACAGTTGGATGAAGCGATCATACCCCTGCTAATGAAGTCTGTAAAGCATTAATTGTTACGAGCGTAACGTATCAGTCGTTATATGTAGACTCCCAACGATGGAGTAGATGGTATGTTACTGCAGAGAAATGGAAAACTGACAATTGGAAAGTTAAAATCATCAATTTTGTCATCAATTGCAGTTTGAAGCCGTTCATCTGAGTCAATATCTAGTAGAAGGTCTGGATATGAACAGACCTTCTAGTTTTGATAGTATCCTTAATCTCAAGTTCACTGGTATGATAAATAGACAATAATAGTGCATTGACTTGACATATCAACGATATAAGGATGAGGCTTAGAAACGGGGAAATGCGAGGCTCTGCCGAGCTTTTTCCCCGTTTCGGGCCGAATCCTTATATCGTTGATATGTCAAGTCAATGCACTATTATTGTCTTTATACTGCAATCTAAAAAAAATATTTTCAAATGTTGTTTAATGTGTTAATGTTATTATTTGATTTAAATATTGGGAAACTTCCCCCTTTTATAAAAAGGCCTCATATCATGCAGGCTGAGAAATATACAACACAATGAAATGTACATTACCTGTTGAAACCCGCAATCGATGGTGAACGAATTTGTTTGAGAATGAACTAAAATATCAACAATAAGCATAAAGCATAATGATTTATAGTTTGCAACCCAAAAATATTAACAAGTGAAATATGTTTTTTTTTTAAATTGCAAAAGAAATAAGTTTGAGTCGTTGTATACATTGGAAATAAGAACAGGTTGAATAGGTCGTATGAATAATTAATTATAATTTCGGCAATTTCTATTTAAATATTCATGAGGAAAAGTGATATCAGGTCAGTGACTGTATATGACATAGAAATATACGGTCAACACATTTTGACTGCTCAAATAGAACGAGTGCAGTATAAATGCAAGTACTTACTTAAACGTTGGTTGTTGAGTAACAGGATATTATCAATATATCCGAATTTAAAATTAAAGAACTTTGTAAGAATTTTTTTGTCCCTCTGTCTTTGAGAAGGTTTGTATTATTTCTGCTGCATATAAGTAAAAAAGTAAGGGTTCACAATTAGTACCCTTTAGATAACCGACTGTCTGTTAAAATATCGACCTATCTTACTTTATAAATATGTTGTTGATCAAAAGTCCAGCAAACCCAGTCAAGTAATCAGATCAAAATTTTATACATTTTTATGACACTCCTCTGACGTCATACAGCAATCAGTGTTGTCATGACATTGTCGATACCTTTGTATTAAGTCAAATTGATAATGCGTAGAAAAGATATAGTTTCTTGCATTTTTACTTTATTTCAATCTCTGTAAAATAAATCAAAGATATAAGAAGATGTGGAATGAGACAACTCTCCATCCAAGTCACAATTTGTAAAAGTAAACCATTATATGTCAAAGTACGGCCTTTAACACGGAACCTTGGCTCATACCGAACAGCAAGCTATAAAGGGCCCCAACATTGACTAGTGTAAAACCATTCAAACAGGAAAACCAACGGTCTATTCTATATAGAAAACGAGAAACGAGAAACACTTATGAACCACATCAACAAACGACAACCACTGAACATCAGGTTCCTGTCTTAGGACAGGTGCAAACAAATGCAGCGGGTTTAAACGTTTTAATAGGCGCCAACCTTCACCCTAACCTGATACAATAGTGAAACATCACAACATAGAAAGACACACTATAAAATATCAATTGAGATGACTTAACTCAATCAAAAGACATATTAACAAAAACAAGTGAACATACACTGAACGAATAAATTTGATCTTTGACACAATGTAAATACAAAATTGCATTACATCCTCATTAATCACATTTGCTACTCATATCAATTGTTTGTATCAGATATGTTGTATCAAATATAAATTTGAGTTAGATGGAGCTATGGAAACCATGTTGAAGACTTAACGGAATTAAGCAAGACCAACTTAAGATAAGGAATGCTGATATATAGTGTATATACTTCGTGTCTAAATACAGCACAAACAACATTTTCCAAAAGACCAAAAAAGTGAAAAAGTACATTTTAACAAAACGCATTTGACTAACAGGTCGAACAACAAATGTTCTTAAACCCTGCTGACTGCCATTGGCGATTGCCAAATAAACGGATCACCGATGTAATAAATGGATCTTAATTATAAATTTAATACTAAACAGAAAACAATAAACTTGCGGAAAAGATGGTATACCGCAAAAAAAAGGTGCAAAGGTTTTTGTACACCATATCCAGATTTCGACAATTAATGTCTCTTCAGTGATGTTAGGAATCGAAACGGTATTTGGAAAGCCATACAATTTACCTCAATTTAGGATAGACTCCTGAATTTAGAGGAGTCAAAATAGGATGAACGGATCATATAAACCCGAAGGCAAATATAATACAAGCCCAAACGAAAAAATATAAACAAGTCTAAATTGAAAACAACGTTCAAACCTATGATTGCGTTGGATAAAAACCGCAATTTTTATACGCGTGCATGCAAAAAAAATTTGGATAAAAACCGCAATTTTTATACGCGTGCATGCAAAAAAAATTTCTTGTTACAAGAAATTTGTTTTGCATGTACACGTATAAAAATTGCGGTTTTTATCCAACGCAATCATAGGTTTGAACGTTGTTTTCAATTTAGACTTGTTTATATTTTTTCGTTTGGGCTTGTATTATATTTGCCTTCGGGTTTATATGATCCGTTCATCCTATTTTGACTCCTCTAAATTCAGGAGTCTATCCTAAATTGAGGTAAATTGTATGGCTTTCCAAATACCGTTTCGATTCCTAACATCACTGAAGAGACATTAATTGTCGAAATCTGGATATGGTGTACAAAAACCTTTGCACCTTTTTTTTGCGGTATACCATCTTTTCCGCAAGTTTATTGTTTTCTGTTTAGTATTAAATTTGGGGGGATGAGCGCTCACACACACATTTTTAACCCTGCAACATTCTTTATGTGCCAATCCCTAGTAAGGAAGCTGTTTTTGTTGGTTTATGTCTGTCACATCATTTTTCGTTAATTATATTATTATAAATTATGCCGTTAGTTTTCTCGTTTGAGTTGTTTCACATTTTTGCATGTCAGGGCTTTTTATAGCTGATTATACATAATGGGCTTTTCTCATTGTTGAAGGCCGTATGTTGACCTTTAATTACTTATATAATCGTAAAATGATCTCTGTTAGATAGTTGTCTCATTGGCCATCATACCACATCTTCTTATTTTTGCACTTAATGAATAATAAGCATCGGAAGCATGCTATTGAATATATTTAAAAAAAAAAATTATATGATTTTTGAGTTCAAGGGACACAAGGTGACCTATTTGTATCTTCTTCTTTTTCCCTAAAGACCTAAATTAAAGTTTAAAAAAACCAACACTTTAAATATATTATATTAAATTAATAATAAAAATAAACACTTAAGATTTATAGTGTTTTTGTTTAATATACTAAGTATTAAGCTGGAACAACAACATATTTCAAGATGATCATGATTGGTATATCAAAACAGATATAGTTTATGTGCTCTAAAAGAGGTTGGTCTGTTAAGATTGGTTTCCTGTATACGCTTTATCTCTTTGATGTTTAACAAGATAACGGTAACTTTTAAGACAGACAAATACTAACAATCAATGATTCTGGTTATTTCATAAATATGATAAAGAAGTACAACAGTTACAATAACAAGAACACTTATTATTTTGTAGGCAATATTTGGCAGGGAACCGTTTAGAGGAAGTTCTCCATGCTTCAATGAATATATGTTTACCTTTAATGGCAAAAGAAAATGGAGCATTTAATCCAGAAAATTACATAGATTTAATGGTGTTCAATATTCTTAATGCTGTGTGTTTCGGCGAAAGGTAAACAATAAATTTATAAAAATTACAATAGAGCTCATGTATGTTTTGTCATTTCAAAATGCCAATGTGCACAGTTCAATCAAATTTAAAATCAAGACTATACGTAAAACATTTGAATTCAATATCTTACCTTATTTTGCTGAGGTTTATAGGTTTCATAAAAATTGAGAATTGGATATTGATCAACTCGAGATATTCAATTTCAATTTAATAATAAACTAGCCTTTTTATTATCATTGATAACTCATCATAGATACCAGGGTTACAATTTTGTACGGAAGACGCTCGTTTCGTTTACAAAGACGCTCGAATTAAAAAGGTTTAAAAGGCGAAATAAAGTACGAATTTGAAGAGCATTGAGAGACCAAAGTTTAATTACTAAAATTCAACATGAAATGCATACGATTCGAGCGCATTATAGCCTTAAATAGTAGTAATAACATCTTTGTTGGTATGTAGGTAGCTGATTTAGGTTTTTTTTAAAAGCATAAATGAAGATTAAAAAGCAATATTTATCCAAATTCATCTAGTTTAGGCTGTAAATGTTATATATCTTATCGACGTTTTTCAGTGTCGAATTAGATGATCCAGAATTTATGAGATTTATGAAACTTAGCAAGAAAATAAATGAAATGACAGGAAATGGTTTTGTTGAAGATATGTTCCCAATCATGTGTAAAATATGGACAACTCATAAGTACAGAACAATACACAACATGAATAATGAACTCATCTCTATTATCAAAAGGAAATTTGAGGAACACGAAGAAACATTTAATATAGGTATGTCAGCAGGTTTGATATGTTAATACAACAATAATTACATTACATGTATGTTTCATGATAATACGTTATTTTGATTGGCTAACAGCGATGTTGCGTCATTCTGAAATTAACCCTCATTTCAAAATTAAATGTAATATTCATGATGACACGAGCTTCCACAATTAAGTGCACAGGTGAATTAAAGAAAACTTGATATAAATCGTGTTTTATGATCCAAGCAAAAAATGCAATTATAAGTTTGGAATGCATCTTTTAGTAATTTTATAGGGTTGTATAAAAGTGTTGACCGTGTGCACATTTTTAGAATGAGGCCTTCCACACTTGATACAAAATGTACTTCGGTCAACGCTTTTACACCCCAATAAATTTACAAAAAGAAGCATTTAATTCTTAAGAGCATGGTAAAAGATCCATTTTTAGCTCACCTGGCTTATAAGGCCAATTGAGCTTTGCTCATCACTTAGCGTCCGGCGTCCGTCGTCGTCGTAATCCGTCATTGTCGTTAACTTTTTACATTTTGAACTTCTTCTAGAGAACCACAGTATGGAATGAAACCAAACATTGCATGAATATTCCTTATTAGGTGCTGACCAAGTGTTGTTACTTTGTAGCTGATCCATCATTCAAGATGGCCACCAGCGGGGGACTTCGTTTAACATAGGACCCTATGGACAATACATACAAATGTCTTCTTTTAGAGAACCACTGAATGGAATGAAACCAAACATGGCATGAATGTTCCTTATGAGGTGCTGACCAAGTGTTGTTACTTTGAAACTGATTCATTATCCAAGATGGCCGCCAGAGAGGGACTTAGTTTAATATAGGACCCTATGGGAAATACATACAAATGTTTTCTTTTAGAGAACCACTGAATGGAATGAAACCAAACATGGTATGAAAGTTCCTAATGAGGTGCTGACCAAGTGTTGTTACTTGGTAGCCAATCAATCATCCAAGATGGCTGCCAGCGGGGAACTTAGTTTAACAAAGGACCCTATGTGAAATACATGTTAATCTTAGTAACTTGGCCAAATGGAATTAAACTTGGCCACTTAGCTTTCAGCATACTTATATTGGGTGAATGCCCCCCCCAGAACCCTGCCCAAATTTTTATTGAAGGGTGTTCCAAAAAAGATTTAAAGATTTCCAGCATAATACAGGCCCTGGGTGGAAAAAAATTTGCAATTATTTCTCATTTTAAGGAAATTACCTTAATACATGTATCTTTATAGATTTAGATATACTGTAAACTGCAAAAATATCAAGAAAAGAAGATCTACACATAAGTCAACATGAACAAAATTATCAATTGACATCTTGTTGGAGTTATTGTCCTTATAAAGTCATTTTCTACAATTTCAATGAATTTTTGGTAATTTCTGTAAGCTTTACAAAGTCTTCTGCTTTTGATTGAATTACGGAGCAAATATTAAGCCAAATATGGCCTCAATCATTATAAGGGTATCTGTTATGATTTTAATCTATTTTTACATGATTTCCAAAACCAAAGTAGAATCAGGTGAGCGACACAGGCTCTTGAGAGCCTCTAGTTTTTATTTTTTTCATATGTGTATCATACAGAGAGTTTGTAGATTCATTAACATAGTCAGAGAACTGATTTACACCAGGACAGATATGTCAATGACTAAAAAGTGAAAAAGACATAATGAAATAAAAACTAAACTAAAAATAAGACAAGAAAAACAAATAAAAAAAGAACACCTGCTTCCCTTCTAATAACAAGAAGACGCCAACCAACTCTGAATTGAAACAACATAAAGGTAATATCAATATTCTTTTTGATGAAAGTTATTTAAGAAATAACAGTACTGTAGTTGAAGAGTTGCCACCGTCAATTTGCGATTTGATGGTCGCTAATGCTGTTTTACTAGCGACGCGTATCGGAGAGCGTAAGTTTGCGACCGTCAAATCAAAATTGACGGCGGCAACTCTTCAACTACAATACTGTTATTACGTCTCTAATGCATCACAAAAAGAAATAATACGTTATAGAGCTTGAAAAAATATATAATTTTGAAATAAAATAAAATTCCGCGAAACTTCATGATTGATTTTGGCGCAAAGACGTCACGGCTAAACATGACGTCATACAAATGAAAACTTACAAACTGAAGGTTAGTACGTTACTTCTACGATTCAAATTTGGATAAAATCACATTAAAACGGCGATTTTGAGGTAGGTGATGTTTTATTTTCGATAATATTAAAGTAATCGAACATTTGTTGATGCAAGCAATTCAAAATGGCGGGTCCCTCCTTAGTTACGACATGTCAACTGTGGATTAGACGGTAACTTTAAGCAAATGAAAAAATATTGTTATAAAAAAATTGCATTAGAATTATTATTTTCTGTATTGAGATTATGAAAACAAATTTGTTTTCATCGTTACAAAAGTTTTTGTCTGCTCTTCGTGGCTGTTTTGCCAAAATTCCATTCAAAAGTGAGCCAATAACATTAACATTACCAATGTAACTGTACCAGGTTTGTATTTTGACAATTAATCTCTCTCCAGGGATGCTCCAAGCCAAAACATTTGAAAATCTAAAAGTGAGTGATTATCAGCGTATAAAAGTATTTATGCATCTGTAAATGAAGTTTTTTTAGCTTGCGTTTGTCAACTGTGGGTTTTCTTTTATACAGAACAAAGCAGTGTTTCGATACTTGCAGTGGTGATTTTGATGTATGTTATACCAATAATAAGTTTTGCTAGATTGGGAGAACATGCCAATTAAGAGGTCAATAAAGGCATACTATACTTGTACTTTTTAAGCGTGTACTAATTTTCCCGAATTAAGTCTTGTCATCAAATCACTTGAACTTAATTTTACGTTATTAAAAAAATATCAACATATTGATATTTTTTTTGACTGATTGATTATTGTTCAGTGGCAATAATTTTATACATATTGAGAACGATAACAAATAATTAATAGATAATTAAGGTTTGTTCCGTTAGATGGAACGACTGGATCAAAGGACTGGAAAATTGAACTGTTAAGGATGTTGTGGATACGGACAGAACTTTTTCCTTGCAACAGGCCACCTTTGAACCTACCAGAGGGTTGTTGAAGGTATAAAACCATTAATGCATAGCCCCATTGCTTTCTATGTTAAATTCTGCAATTTCAAGCATTAATGGCTACGTTGTCTTAAGTGTAAATAAAGTGGCAGTCATTTCATGTCAACACTATACCTTATCCTGACTTGTGCTGAAAAATTCAACATACCCTTAATTACATATTAGAGCGTACTGGTTCCCGGAAGTTTGATAGTACAAACAGAAGTACTTCTATTCTGAACTACAGGGCAAATGTGCCCTCCTATTATAATTCTATATACTTTTTTATTATTCAAAAGAAACTTCAAAGAAGGGGTCTACAGTGATTCCCTAAGCTTTCATTTGACACCAAAACTACCCAAATATTTCACCTATTGACAAAGAAGGGTTCTACAGTGATTTTCCAAGCTTTCATTTGATACCAAAACTACCCAAATAATTCACCTATTGACAAAGATACATCTATACGTAGGAACTATTTTGTTTAAAATATGTACTACTTTCTTGTGTATTCTTTCCGACCGGGCCCGAATTAGTGGTTATATACCTGAATAGGTTATTTTACTTGCAGAGTGCCTGGCAGTTAAATTACACGAGGCATTACATTTAATTTTCCCATTCTGACTGGACGCGGCTGCTAATGTATAATCCCGCTCAGCCGAAGGACTCACCACTTTAATACGAGTCTACTGCCGGAACGGAAGAACTCCAGAGTTGACCATATTTCTATACCCTAGTCAATCCTTGTTGTAATTTTGTTTTTAAAATTACACGATTGTAAGCATAATGTGACAGTAACCTTGTGTGATTAATGAATAGTGGTTTATCTTTTTTAATCCAAATCTTTGATGTTATTTGAAGACATCCTGGATTTTATAGCGAAAATATTAAAACGCTGGTTGTAAATATTTAATTGAATTATTCAATCTTTAGGAAGCTATATATACCAGTTCAGAGTAACTATTTGCAGTATAACAATGATTATTCAGTAATCAAAATAGTGGTCCCTAATAGATAGTTGTATTGTACAATCAGACAATTAGGATGTAAATTACACAATTAAGGTATCACATTTGCATGGCGTATGTCATGATTGTTATGTTTGACATTTTATTCTTATTTAGTTTTTAGTACTAATCATGCTAATAATTTATGTTGATTCTCAATTCCTTTGGTCATTTTTTCGCTAATCAGTATTCCCCATATCGTTCTTTATTCAACATACTGAGTGTGCTGGAAAAGTAATTCTAGAAAGTAGCTAGAACATATTGAAATGTGAATTTCGTATCATTGATAAAAGCATTTTAGTCAATAAATTTCTTTTCAATAGATCTGTATACACTATCACATATGTTGTTTTCAGTAAATTGTTTAAACTAAACTTATATTGAAATAAACTCCTTAATTTGACATCAGACTCGGACTTCTCTTGAACTGAATTTTAATGTGCGTATTGTTATGCGTTTACTTTTCTACATTGGCTAGAGGTATAGGGGGAGGGTTGAGATCTCATAAACATGTTTAACCCCGCCGAATTTTTGCGCCTGTCCCAAGTCAGGAGCCTCTAGCCTTTGTTAGTCTTGTATTATTTTTAATTTTAGTTTCTTGTGTACAATTTGGAGTTTAGTATGGCGTTCATTATCACTGAACTAGTATATATATTTGTTTAGGGGCCAACTGAAGGACGCCTCCGGGTGTGGGAATTTCTCGCTACATTGAAGACCTGTTGGTGACCTTCAGCTGTTGTCTTTTCTATGGTAGGGTTGTTGTCTCTTTGACACATTCCCCATTTCCATTCTCAATTTTATCCTTAATAATTCCAGACAACGTCAGAGATTTTACTGATTCCTTGATACTGGCAAGAAAAGAAGCAGAACAGGAAGAGAAAGCGGAAATATTATCCCAGTTATCTGACACACATCTTAGACAAACTGTATTCAATATTTTTAGCGGTGAGTTGGAATGAGTAACAGTTGTCTTATAATCTTAGAGTTCTATATATTTGAACATTGTTTTTTTTCTCTTTTATAAATATGGTGTAACTCTTAGAAGTTATAAGAGGCATATGAATGTTAAAAATGTGCCGCACAGTTCTATGTTTTGACCTTTCAAAAAAAAAAAAAAAAAAAATAGTAGTGCATATGAACTTTCCATTCCAGGATATAATGTTTTACGAAACTTCAAAGTGAAAATGGCACAGTTCTAGTCGTAAAAGGAGTTCCTATGGGAAGTTGCATTATCTATATATACAGAAGTGCAGCCTGCAGTTACTAAAAGCCAGGACAATACTCACTATCAACACATTATTTTACCTTGTTTGCCTACATGATTATGTCTAAATCATTTGTAAATAATCCATTTAAAATGTGCCTTTTAATAGCTGGTATCGAAACATCAACAGTAACATTAGGTTTTGCTGTACGTTACATGGCTGGATTACCAGAGATTCAGAGTAAAGTTCAGGAAGAAATAGACAGAGTTGTTGGTGAGTACTGTTAAGTTTGCATGTGCCCTTTCCTTGGCATATTTATAAATTAACTGTTTACAAAACTTTGAATTGTTCGGAGTACTGAAGGTTTTCGATCCGAGGTTTATATAACCTTATCTCGGGCTGTATTTGGCAAAAACTTTTCGGAATTGCTGACCCTCAATGCTCTTCAACTTCGTACTGTATTTGGATTTTTCTCTTTTTTTAATTGGTGTGTTGCTTTTGATCTTTTTGTAGACGAAACATGCGTCTGGCGTAAAAAAATATAAACCTGGTACCTTTGATGAGTTTTTTTGAAAGCTTTAATTGGAAATAAGAAGATGTGGTATGAGTGCCAATGCGACATTGCTCCATCCGAGTCACAACATTTATAGGTCAACACGGAGCCTTGTATTTTATGATAATCTAATTTTGGATGTAACACGTCTTCCGATTGGCTGTGTGTTTTGACTATCAGCTCATAGACATAATGATGTCATATGACCGTGACGTCATCAACGTCTTTTTCATGATTTACTCCTTAAAAATGGAATTTAGAATTATATTATTAGGAGTGACTGAATATTTTTTCTGGCTATTCGAAATAATTAAAACGTGGTGACACTGAATAACGTAGTGTGTTATTTAAAAGTGTTTATCACATTTTATTCTATGTCTTCATAGTCAGAATACATATTACATTCATTCCTTAAATGAACAAATTTGTATATAAAGAGTTATATATATCTGAACATTGTTTTTTTTTCTCTTTTATAAATATGGTGTAAATTCTGTCACGTAATGAATTTTCAATCATACTTAATACACACGTTCTATATAAATGAAACTTTTTTATGATAGTAAAATCATATGTTATCATCTCATTGTCCAACAGGCCTTTTAAAAGGCATGATCAAATATTGTTTAAATGTTGAACATAACCAAAGCTAAATACTTCTAATTCCATCACCATACACTTGTCTTGGTAATGAATGATCTCTTTACCAAAATTCAATATCTTTTTTTAGTGAAACTAAATCATATATCAAACAAACAAAAGACATGCAATTGACCTTTGAAATGCCAAATATAGTCCAACACATTGTATTTACTAAGATGATGATGTGTATTTACTCTTATTACATGAAAAAAAAATATAAATGTATGGACATATGAAAAAACTTTTTTTTACTTTACCATATCTGTACTAGATCCCTGAAAAATAAGTTATTGACGCAAAAAGTTTTAAGTTTGCTTTGTATACCAAATTTAAAAAGTGCCTAAATTGTTAATAGGAAAAGATAGATTACCGACGGTCAAAGACAGAGAAAATCTCAGCTATACAGAAGCCACCTTACATGAAGTCATGAGACTTGGTACAGCTGTTCCATTAGGTATACCTCATAGTACAATTTGTGACACACGAGTTGGTGAGTATTTGAATTAATCAGACTTTTACAAATGGTTAAAGCAATCATTTACATTCGATATGGCATTACCATTACATTTGCACGAATTTCCATTACATTTGCGCGCGTTATTTTTACAGGTAAACTCAGGTAAATACTGGAAAATGCTGGTTTATCATATTTTATTCATTTATTTATTTATTTATTTATTTATTTATGTTACCATTGAATTATGTGCTTGACAATATTATACTTCGATGATTAAATTATGTAAAAGTACAAATACCCCGTCCGTTTGTCCATGTCCCTTGCTCAACAAAGACGATGTTGAAGAGGGATTTTGAGTAGGATATGTTCGTTGTATTGTGCCCAAGCACAAAATCCTAGAAAAAAGTGTAAACTGCAAAAATACAAAAACTCCAAGGAAAATTCAAAACGGAAAGTCTCTTACCAAATGACAAAATCAAAAGCTTTAACACATCATACGAATGGATACAACTGTCATATTCCTGACTTGGTACCGGCATTTCCTTATGTATACTTATGTATAGAATGGTGGATTAAACCTGGTTTTATAGCTATTATAACCTCTCACTTGTATGACAGTCGCATAAAATTCCATTATATTAACAATAATGTGTGAACAAAACAAACAGACATAATAGATAAGAATGTCCAAAATAGGGGTACAGCAGTCAACATTGTGTTATATATTTAGAACTGTCTCTACTTCTTGTAAAAAGATGTTATTAATATACTTGAAAAAAAATATAAAAATAATGTTGCTGATGAATGTTCCGTGAGCATTTTTTATGTGTAAATAAGAGAAGTACCAATGTTACTGTAATATCAGAAATAGGAAGAGTTCATTATCTTAATATCAGAAATAGGAAGAGTTCATTATCTTAAGGATGTTCGCTACTCTGTTTCAAAATAACAAGCTTTTTAAAAGACTGATACAAATTGATAGTATACAAACAAAGAAACTAAAAAAGCAGAAAAAAATGAAGGGTCCGTGTGCTTGTTTTCGAGATATAAGCCATTGAAAATTTGGCGGGAAATAATTCTCTCTAGATTTTTCATACATTTAACATTGGCACCTTTTTGCTTTCAAAAACGATGAAAAAATAACAAGGATTTTATTAGATTTTCAGAGATGACATTTTAAACTATATGTAATCAAATTATGGAAAGAAAAGTAGGGGTTAATGGGCACATTTTTTAATGGCACTACATGGGTAAAACCAGAGGATTCCGAATATCTGACAAAAATTCAAAAACCCAGAGGAGCGAACATCCTTAATATCTATGTCAAGCTTTTTGCATAGATTACATCAGTGCAACTCAAATTTATTGAACGATCTTTTTCTATGTAACAAGAAAATGAATGAAAAAAAAACACTGTGATAGGGTATTGTTCTGTAAAATTTCTCCCAGAAAAGCTTGAATTCAAAGAAACATATTGTATTAATTGTTCAATTGTAATAGAATGAAACAACTAACTTTGAAAAGTAAAAGACACCATTGTTGAACATAGATGTACTGTTACTGGAAAGTTTGATTCTTGTTAATCTCACAAAAGTATTTTTCAAATAGTAAAATATATTGATAATCATTTTAATACATACCACAATTTTTTTTTATATGTATATTTGTATGTTAAGTTGCTTTGATGTCATGATCATGTCATAATAAACGCACAAAGAACTTGTCAAATTTTGTAATTTCAATTGTGTGCTTCCTGTCTTAAGCATACATCAGGCTCCTCTAAGATCGGATAGTTTGTGAGGTACATATCGGTTCCTCCATTACGACGTTGGTTTTTTGATGGTAATTAAAGTATCACTTTACCAAATCTTTTGACATTTCGAAGAACATGTCATGAAACATTAAATACAAATCGGGTACGATTGTAATGGTTTTGCCATTTACCATTTAAGTGCTATACTTTTTAGTTACATAAAACATTGATATTGCTTTTAAATTGCAGATGATAACTAAAAATGCACTATACCAAATCGTTTAAAATTAGAATTAAAATTTGAACAACACAATGTAAAAGATGATAAAATACAGGCCAGTCTACATTTTGGTGGATTTGACATGGCGATCCCATATTCCGTCGGGGTCGCCAACATCATCGATCTTTTTAAACCTTCACAGAATTTTATGAAACTTGAAAGCTTTTTTTATCAAAAGAGTAACACTTCAAAACTTTTTTTTTTAATTTCTGTATTGTACTTATAAAATGCTCTTAGTTTTATTTCAGTTAAAAAATCAGATTATTCCCCTAGCTCAATTTCGTTAGAATTTAGTTTTTTTTATTCCAGGTGATAATGAAAGTACGATTTGACAAAATTTTAAACAATTTATTATGAAATATAAAATACAGATCAATTTTAATTTCAGTTTTGACAAGTACTTTATAAAACACTTATGTTACATCATCAGACAAATTATTTTTTACACCAGAACTAGGTTTGGTCTACAAAAAGACTCGTCAATGACGCTCGAATGATAAAAAAGATGAAAGGTTGATTAAAGGAAATTATATCAAGAGAAAAGAGATACTTTCTACTTTTTATTTCTATCAGTTAGTTATGTACAAAGTTATTCAGGTTATAATTTTCTTTCTTTCTCAATGTTCCTGCACACATTGTATATATGGTGTTTTACAGGTGGTTATGATGTTCCAAAGGACACAATGGTTATGATCAATCACTGGGCACTTCACAATGATCCCAACTATTGGAAAGACGTGAAGAAATTTGATCCCACACGCTACCTGGACGAAAATGGAAAGCTTGGTATGAAACCAGAAAGCTGGTTACCATTTTCAGCAGGCAGACGTGGGTGTTTAGGTGAATCTGTTGCTAAACCAGAACTTCATCTGATTTTTGCAACACTTATGCAAAAGTTCAAGATTACCTTACCTGAAGGAACCAATCCCGAAATAGAACTATGTGGATCTGGTGCCATTGCAATACCTGCTCCTTATAAAGTCATTGTTAAAGAAAGAAATCTTTTATAAACTTTCTTGACATTGTAAAAGATTTTTCTAACTGAACGTTTTCTTTATACTTTTAGTTGATTGTTCGAAAATGATATAGACATCCTACCAGTTTAATATAATAATAAAACTATTTAGATTTGATTTATTTCATGCTTTTAATGTGTTTTTGTTTAAGTTCTGCTATGAATTTACCTTATCTACAGATCAATATCATGGCAACTGTACCTGCTATCAAATGTATGCATTATACATTTTATAAATACTGATTGCCAATAGAAATAAAGGCAACGATAGTATACCGCTGTTCATTAGTTATGAATCGAATAAGCGAAAAAAAAAAACAAAAAAAAAACGGTGACGAACTTAAACCGAGAGAAAAACATCAACTATGAAAGGAAAACAACGGAACAACAGAAACACTGAACTGCAACAAAAACAAACGCCAACATACATAGAAATGGACTATTTGATAACAACTGCCATATTACTGACTTGTTACAGGACAGTTTAAGAAGAAATGTTTGGTTGATCCTGGTTTTATGGCTAGCTAAACAACGCAACATGTACAGGTATTTTTTTATTTGATAAAAAACAAAACAAACTAAGATATATTTTTCCAAAGCAGCCCAATGTCTCCAATCATTGTAAGTTTTTTTTATCAGAAAATGTTTTTACCACATGCACTGAACATATCATTGTCATTGTTTGTATTATAAATACTTATATATTGTTTATGTTATTGTGAAATTAGTTTATGAGAATATGATTTCGTGCATTCATTTTCATTTTTTTTTCTATTTCTGACTTCACTTCATGTTTACATAGGCCCAACTGTGACTTTAAAATGAATAATAATAATACGATCGCAGTTCCTTTTCTTATGTTTTACTTTATTTTCTCATGTGTCTTGAGCTTATACACCATGTTCTCTGTTTTTCTTTATGTTTGCCGTATTTATACACGTATGCATCTATACGATGTCATTTAATATGTTTTGAACTCGGAATTAAAGAAGGTATGGATATATGTCTACGCTTGAGACAGCACCCAAACGAAAATAAAAAATGAAAGAAAAATAACTAGAAGGATTCATAAAGTCTTCAACAATAGACAGGTGTTGTAGTGTATTTATATAACAAATTATTGAGAATACAGTATCAGATTAGAGTCAACACAACCAGTGCAAACAACTTCTAGTTTTGTCTTTAAACCCATGGTACTTTACAGCATGTAATGCTTGAAATCAAGTAGACTGTCTTTAAACCCATGGTCATTTGCAGTCTATAATGCTTAAATCAAGTAAACTGTCTTTAAACCCATGGTACTTTGCACCCTGTAATGCTTCGAATCAAGTAGACAGTCTTTGAACCCATGGTACTTTGCAGTCTATAATGCCTGAAATCAAGTGGACTGTCTTTTAACCCATGGTACTTTGCAGTCTATAATGCTTGAAATCAATTAGACTGTCTGTTTCGTATTATTTGTGTTACATGAAAAGGCATTGTTTTTGTTTTTGGAAATCATACTTTCTTGTTTATTTGACCTGTTGATACTAATTGTTACGTAATGCTTTTTTGTTATTTAATGTTTACTTATTCAGGGTTATATCTGGTCTATATACCATCTTTGATAATCGTTTTGTATTACTATAAATTTTCACTTCTTCGTACTATGAACATCAATAATTATTTATTTTGTAAAAATATTTCCTTTCTCCATTTGAACTGTACACGTATACCTAACAACAAAATTATTTTCATTTACCTGTGTTTAAAGTAATTGCAAATGGCTGATATTTTTGTTCATGCATATTGTTTTTCTTAAATTGTTTAACATTTCACATGTATAACATGTTACTTTAATTATTCTTCCCTTAGTTTATTTATTTTGTATTTACATTGTATCATATGTTGAGTTCAGTGTATGTTCACTGGTGTTGATATGTCTTTTGATTTAGTTAAGCCATTTCAATTGATATTTTATAGTGTCTTTCTATGTTGTGATGTTACACTATTGCTTCAGATAAGGGTGAAGGTTTGGTACCATTAAAACGTTTAAACCCGCTGCAATTGTTTGCACCTGTCCTAAGTCAGGAATCTGATGTTCAGTAGTTGTCGTTTGTTGATGTGGTTCATAAGTGTTTCTCGTTTCTCGTTTTTTATATAGATTAGACCGTTGGTTTTCCCGTTTAAATGGTTTTACACTAGTAATTTTTGGGGCCCTTTATAGCTTGCTGTTCGGCGTGAGCCAAGGCTCCGTGTTGAAGACCGTACTTTGACCTATAATGGTTTACTTTATAAATTTTGACTTGGATCGAGAGTTGTCTCATTGGCACTCATACCACATCTTCTTATATCTATTTAAGCATTTTTTTGAAAATAGGCATGTAGAAAGGTGATACGTGAACAATTCAGGATATACCTGTTTTCTGTGAAGGTAAACTTAAGGTAAATTATTTGAAAAGTGTGGAAATTGAAATAAAACACGTTTGAATAGATTTTGAAGTGGTGATCTGACACCTGAACACATTTTTTAATTCTAAGTTTGGCAATCGAAGATTACGGTTTATACATTGCATGTTTTAAATTTGATGTACAAAAATAAAATAGACATGAAATTCCAAGATACAATCACTGCATGAACGCATGCGTTTACTAAAATTTATTTTTTCAATAAATTCCTTTTCTACTTAAGTTTAGAAATATACTTGAAATTTAAGGCAAATTCTACTACAAGTTTGTCAGAAATTACTGAATTACTTAGATCTGAAAATTAATTCACATTAAAGTAAATTTACCATACAATATATTTCAAGTTTATCAGAATTTATTGAATGTTTTACAGTTGGAATTTAATAATCTAAAATATTTTCTACTTCTAACTTAAGATAATTTATTCTGTTATGTTTATTTGCAATTAAAGTCTTGTTAGATCACATTTAACCCCATCTTTAATGAGATTTATTTTTTATAGTATACATATAGTTAGGAGTATTTTAAAGGAAATTAGTTTCAGATAATACTTTATTTCATATAAAACCGGTTTCTAATTACGTTTGAAAAAAATGTATATGTTTGAGAAAGTATAATATTTCTACCCAAATTTAAAGAAAATAAAGCATTAATTTTGTACTCCAGTTATTCTAATCTTTTTTTTTCATTGTTCACTGAATTATCCGCTTATGAGGAAAGTTACTATGACACGACTTTTTGTATGATGTTTAATAGACCTTTGAGTAGTATGATCTGAGACTACAGTGTTGTACAGTATATTAGTCTCAGGTTTAATTTATCGGCTAATGAATCATTTATTAAAGAAAACATTTTGTTTTTGTCAGATTTCAAGAAGTTGATCATAATTCTTTACTCCCTTATCCATCCTAATATAACTTATTTTACATTCAAATTCCTATTTTCCTCGTACATAATTTAACATTCTTGAGGGTTATCAAGAAATTATGCTTTTAGTTTTCTCAATTGAATTGTTTCATAGTTTTCAGGTCGGGGCCTTTTGTAGACGTCTATACGGTATTGGTTTTTTTTTTCATTGTTAAAGGCCGTACGGTTGCCTATAATTGCTTAAATCCACTTCATTTGAACGATGGTGGATAGTTGTTCATCGGCAAATATACCACATCTCCTTATTTTTATATACATCAAATATGCTGTATTATGCAATTAAACTGTTTAATCAGGTATTTATCATTCGTACATTCGTTATTATTTGTATTGTTTATATTCATTTGCATTATCTATATAGCTAGGGTTTTTACTTTTTGCAATAAATTTATTATATATTGTAAATGTTTAGCATACATCTACAACTAGACATTGTACTGAGTTTGCTCATTAGGATCCTAAATTGTATCTTTATGTTCGTAAAGTTTACCTCCCTTTGATTGCAAAAGATGTGTTCAGGGGGAACTAACTACGCTGCATTTACAGCATTTTTTTAGTTGGTTATTCTTAAATATAAATTATTACCTAATTGGTTTATTTCCCGTTTCCATCTTTCTGTTTACGAGCACAACAACGCCAGTACATACAAGATTTTGTTATATGATCAAGGTTAAAAAAATTAAAAAGATGTACAATACCTAAAAAATGTTAAGGGAAAAGGCTATTTTCTAAACAAATTATATATTTATTTATTTATGTAAATAATACAATTGGAACAGTCTGGCCAATCCTTGTTTTAAGAAGCAGAAGAAAATCGAAAATATGAAGCAAAAACTACGAGGTGAAGAAATGCGTTCTTTTTTTATTTTCGATATCTTATTTTATTCATGTCGTATCTGTTAATACATTTACTGTAATTGCAAACAGATTTCCTTATGCAAGTTTGTGTGACAATCTTTCCATGACATCAATACACATATGACCATGATTCTAGGGAAATCTCAGTGTAATGGTTATGTTGACATGATGATATGTTAAAAATAATATTGCCTTCTATAGATTTTTATTATCTCACAATTAAAAATAAAAAACCGATTTGTACAAGAATTAGGATGAGACCTAAATCCACCAAAGACCAACAGACATGGATTCACAGCATGACCGTCACCAATGAGCTAAACTCATACATTGTATATAAATAAATAAATATATAAATAAATTAATAATCTTTATTTCAAGAGGATAATCCCATTAGTTAAAACTAATCTTCCTGAGAGTCCTCAAAATAATAATAACATATTAATATAGTATATACAATATTATAATGACAATATTATAATGATATATACACAATATACAATTGTATATAGATATTAAAGAAAAAGCATATTAATTTGCACAATTTATGAAAAATTTGTAACATTTTGTTTTAAAAGATACAAGTGTATTACTCATCTTTATTTCTTGTGGTAATCTGTTCCATATTTGAGAATCAGAATATGTAAATTTTTTCTTCAAAAACTTAGTTTTTGGCTCCGGAAGATTTAATAATTTTTCATCAGCTGAACGTAAATTATAATTTTGATAATTAGTAAAATGAAAGTTTTCTTGTAAATAGTTAGGAATCATATCCTTCAATGATTTAAATACATTGTCAAGTATTGCCTTTTGATATTGAATTCGTTTTTCCACATTTAACCAGTTTAAACTATTAAACAATAAACTGGAGGATGTCATTATGTCAGCTTCTACTATAACCCTAGCAGATTTCTTTAATAACTTATTTATAAGTTTATTTATTCCACTTTCATAACAACTACCCCATATACTGCAACAATAATCAAACAATGGCAGAATATAAGCATTGAAATAAATAATACTGTAATGGTATATCGTGTAGTAAGGCATTTAGCCATCAATTAAAAGCAATTAAAACAATATAAAACAATTAAAAATTAAGCGAAATAAAAACGGTGCGTAAACAATAAACTAAGAGCAAACAAGAAAGAAAAACCGACGACAACTACTGAATTACGGGTTCTTGATTTGGGACAGGAACATATAAAATGAGGCGGTTTAAACATGTCTGTTAGCGCAAAACAATTCGCTTAACTTGGACAGTGGTGTAACAATCGCCGATGTCGGATTTAGGACAATGCCTGCTCAAAACTTCACTGATATAAAACATCAGGTGCTTGTTTCTGATTGTTCTTATATACTATGAATAATATCTTAATCAATTTTTGTAATGATTAATGATTGCAATCATACTTGTAACATAAAACGTCTTTACGTCAGAATATTTGGACTGTCCATAAAAAGTAATTATGTTGGGAAGAAGTTTCTTCTTACAACATGCCTCATTCCGACCACTCGCAGAATTTTGCCAGAAGAGTTCT